ATTGAATATAAAGCCATTCTCATTGGCTGGTTATAGAGATGATGAGGATTGCTGCTGCCATATGAGCATTCCTTATTTCCCGGTAACATATTTCTGTTGATTGTTAATTATTTTTTAAATATTCATTTTGAGATTTAATAATTCTGTATGTCTATAGAAGGTGTTGCGATCATATTCACCCTTCCCCATTGCCCTCACTCTTCTCCCTCCCACACATTCCTCCTCATCTTCATCTTCATTTCAGTTTCCCTCCCTGTGGTTTCATCTACTTGTTCAGGTCTTGGACAGGAAGCCAGGCTGTTGTGTGATCATGGCTGCAGCAGCCCTGTTGTTTCCAGAAGTGTTTACATCTCATCACCCATCCTCCAGCTCTTATTCTTTCTGCCTCCTCCTCTGTAGTGTGTCCTGGGACTGGGACAGGGTAATATAGATGTTCTGTTCATGGCTGTGAACTCAGCAGTCTCTTGTTTTCACTTCTTGACCAGTCTCTGCAATAACTGTTCTCCTTTGCAAAAGAAGTTTCTCTGACTCAGGCTGAAAGCAGCGTTGGTGTATGGGTAGACTCAGAAATGTTTAAAGGCACTTTAGTTGTATGTACATTAGCCAAATATCAGTAGTAGATCCCATCATAGGCCTGTCAACTTCCCAGTCACAGTGTTTTAACAGCTTTAAAATAGATGCTCTCATTTTCTTCTGTGAATCAGACATCAACTCCAATCAGAAATCATTTGTTTACCCACACGACAGTTTTGCCACTACCGCAGCAGGGGGCGTATCTTACCCGGAAGTTTGGTTTTGTAGCACATAGTGTCCACATCTGGGTCAGATCACTGATGACTCTCTTTCCCCAGCTGCCTGTGTAAAACTTTTTGGCACCATAAAGTCTAGACAGCAGGGAGAAAAATGTATTTTTAAGACACTGTGACTTGTCTGCTGACTTCTCAGCATACATTGTTGATGTATAAAAAGCCGTCTAATTTTGTGTGTGGGTGTACAGTTTATTAAGCCGGGTATCAGATCTGAGGTTTTTGCTGAAGTATTTATGGTCTTTAAGTTGCAGAATTATACTGAATGCAAATTGCAATATCTTGCTTTTTTCCCTATATGAATTACTTTGAAGTTTTCTCTTTCATTTTTGCACTTAGTATCAGCTGATACACAGCTCTGTGGGAGAAGAGGATGCCCTTGGTTCTGCTCTGATTAGAGTAGAAGTGATTCCTGAGTTCCGCATTTAGTACAATGCTGGGTTGAGGTCTGAGGCACATGATCTTTATTTGCTGCTATGTGTTCCTACTATAATTCACTTCAAAGGTTTTTCTTTTTTAAAGCTAATATTTTTAATTTTTTGAGAATTTTATGAGTCCTTTATGTCCATCGTTTCCTTTACTCCCTCTTCCCCCCACCTCCTCTCATGTGTCCCCTACTCCCTCTCTTATCCTCTCATTTGATTATTATTGGTGCACATACATACATTCAAACACAAGTTCACATACAATGTGCTGAGTTCATTTAGTCATGATGATGTGCACTTGTGTTTAGGCCTGAGGACCTAAGATTAGATAAGCTAGCAGGGAAACTATCCATGGAGAGAACTGATATCTTCCCTCAGCATTTATTGATTCCTTGTGACTCTTTATATAGTGCTGAAAACTTGTGCCATTTTCCCTTCCAAATTGGCATGTCCACTGGTGTGGTCATTTTTGGTAACTGTATTGTGGAGGTTCCATGGGTGCAGTCTCCTTATCATATCCGGAGTACACTCTCTAGTAGCAGGTGTTCTCCATCTGTGGCTCTTACAGTCTTTGCACCCCCTCTTTCTGAGATGTTCCTTGAGCATTAGGTGTAGGGGTTGCATAATTGATCTACCATTTAGTGCTAGGCACCACAGCATCATTGGGTTAATGAATTTTGATCATTTGTAGAACTTTGTAATACTGTCCATCTGTTAGAAAAAGACTTTTAAGATGTGCAAATAAATTTTGCCACAGGGCTATTTTTTATTATTATTGAAATGATCAAATTCACTCTGCCCATGTGTCTAGATATTTGCTGTTTTTTGTTTATTGCTTTGTGCATGATGAACCATTCTCTAATCCTTAGAACAAACGCAATCGAACTGTTTCCAAGTAATTGGTGAGAACTTTTGGGTCTGTATCCCTCCAACCAGCTGGTCTTTATTATCCTTCGTATGTTTTTGCTTTTTCTTACCTGCTGTTGCTATCAAGGGGGAGCTACATTTGTACAACAAGTTTGTTACTAAAGCATTCCTCTGTGTTTTATGTTGTAATTTTAGTGTAGAATAATATAATTATTTTGTCCAAAGGACTTTTAGAATTCAAAACGAAATCTGTTCAGTCCTAGACTATGCTTAGAGGACAGCAGTTACTGCTTCAACTTCAGTACTTGCTTAAGATCTATGCTCTTATATAAGATAGGTTTATTTGATAATGTTTCTTAGAACTCCCTCATTTCCTCTAGAATTTCCAATTTATTTGACTGACCTTCCAAATTACTCCATAAAAATAACACATTGGATTGACATATTGAAATGTTTCATTTTTCAAGTCTTTCTTCTTAATTTTGGTATTCATTCTGTGTCGTGATTAGATGACAAATGATTTGTCAATATTTTTAATTCTCAATAGAACCTAGGCTTTTTCACGTTGATTCATTATATTCTTTTAATTTTTATTTTAACTTATGTGGCAACTGTTGTAACATCCTATGTACTGTTTCACATTGACTTGATCCTTCTTTGTAAGACCTTCATTTTCTATGCAAAAATGTCTTTCACAGCCAAAGCCTCTTGCTGCCCAAACTTCCCAGCATGTGTATGTCACCCCAGACCTCTATGGATGCCTTTGATGATGCTGCCCAAACTTCCCAGCATGTGTATGTCACCCCAGACCTCTATGGATGCCTTTGATGATGTTGCACTGTTTTTAACACTCCATGAAGGTGTCACCATATTCCACAAATTCTGACTGTTCATTGTTTAAGGTTTCCACGGTAACTAAATAAAGAAGAATACAATCCCAAGAGGCTGTTTGCCTGCAGCAAAATGTGATATTCACATGGACAAGGTGGATTCTTGTCCAATGCTGCTCTGATATGCAGGAGATCCTGTCACATCAGTTTCCGGCTGGACATTATGATGTCTTGTGTCATTTGAGGTCCCAGCTTCACCCCGTTTGATTATTCATTTCAAATGGAGAGAGTGCATGTACTGTTCCAGTATTAGAGATAATATTATACTATTAGGGTTTCAAACTGCAGCCCCCCCCCCCATCCAACAGGGTCCCATGGACTTTGGATTTCTCAAGCCTGAAAAAAGGGTACTGAGCTGATAAGCACCTTGGTCTTTGAAGTCAAGGGAAGCAGACTCCTCTAAGAGGCAGCCTGCCTTTCGTTTGATCTCTGAAGACAAGATAAGCAGATTCTGCCTGTTAACCAAAGATTTTAGGAGCCCCTTTAGTACAGCAGCTTTTCCCTTATCTTAGGAGGACAAAAAGTAAACACTTCCTGACCCAGATCCTGGCTGGTAGATGGAATGGAGCCTCGTTTACAAGCCTTGCTTTTCCTGCCCCCCGCCCCCCGATTTTTCCAAAAAAAACTTCCCGCCTTCTTCATATAAGCCCCATATATAAGCCCCAGTTCACAATCCGTGGGATGACATTTTCCCTTCCCTAAAGGGAATATGTCCCATGCTAAATAAAGCTCCATCCTGCTGAGAGTTTTATCTGTGTCTCGGTGCCTCATCCTCCATTCGTTCATTCTCTGCCAACTTTTTACCTATCACATACTTGTCCTTTTTACTGTAATGTTGACCTAGATTTGGCCCATGTAGCCTTTATTGTGTTGATCTATGTTTAGTTTGTTCCTAGTTTTGCTAGCTTTATTATAAAGTCTTGTTGAACTTTATCATGTGACATTTGTTTCTACTGATAGTATGATTATTCAGTAGTGTTTATGTTTTTGTTTTGTTTTGTTTTTTGAGAAAGGTTCTCCTTGTAGCTCCAGCATAGCTCTACTCGCTATGTAGACCAGACTGGCCTCTGTCTCTAACAACTGTTCTATCTCCAGTTCCAGGGGATCTGTTGCCCTCTTGTGACCTCTGCAGCCATTGCATAACATGGGTGCACTTACACACATGCAGGCAATACACATAAAATAATAATTGTTATAAATAATAATAATAAAAAGGTTTTCACTGCTATGGCCCACCCTAGAATTCTTGCTTTATTTTTTTGTAGATGGTGTCATTAGATCCAGGCTGGCCTTGACCTTGCTATGTAACTGAAGATAGCCTAGGAAACTTTATATTCCTGCCTTTCTTTCAAAAGTGCTGGCATTATAGGCATGCATCATCATGGCTGGTCAGATGTCCCTCCCTCCCTTTTCCTTTTTTTTTTTTTTGAGTTAAGGTTTCACAGAGATCTGTCTGCCTCTGCCTCCAGAGTCCTGGAATTAAAGATGTGCACTACCACACCCATCTCTCCATAGTGTTTTTATTTCCTGTGATTTCCTTGGTGTTCTAAATATTGAATTGTTGGCAATATACATTCTTTCCTGTTAGAATTGGTGGTGTGTGTTGCACATGGTTGATTACTTCTCACTCTTATCCATTTATTGATTCTGCACATGAAATGTATGATTTCCTTTGTTCTAATAGATAATTTCTTTTTAGTTGTTCTTTAATTTTAATTTGCAGTGATCCTTGAGTGAAATTTATTGCATTAATTCATGAATTCCCTGCAATGCACTTTAGAGCTTTGAATATGTTGTTCCCTGCTGTGGCCTGAATTCTCTCTGCGTCTCCTGAACGATCAGACAAACCATATAATATATTTTATATGTATTTATTAACTTACAAAGGAATGAGTACCCAGTGCCCAGCCCTGTGCCACTCTTCAGAGCCCGCCTTATCAGATCGTGCCAGGCCCATAATTCGCTCATGCCTCTGGGGCCATTAAAAGTCAGTCCATTCTGTCTTTCAGCTGTTCCGCACTGCATTTGCACAGCTTCCCCACAGCTAGTGGCTTCTCAGGAGTGGCTCCAGGCTTCCGTTCCAAGATGGCTCCCAGCCACACCCCCGTAGTCCACACTCTGCAGCAGGCCCCGCCCATTGGAAGAACTAGCCAATCAGGAGACACCTGCCCATTGAAGAAGAAATGGCTGATTCTCCAGTAAATGCATCCCAGGTAAGTTTCATATCAACTTTTCTTCTAGAAATACTATGCACAAAGGCCTTGCAAGCCTTTAACGCTCTGCTTCAGATAATGTTATTTAAAGGGGATCCTTAAGTTCCTTTTGTTCTTACGATAGTTAGGATTAGCTCTGTAAATCCGTGTCTCCTACATGGCACAGCTTTGTCTCCTTTCTATCTCCTGCAAGATTATTTTTGTGAGGGCAAGTCTTCTCCATGGATTTATGACCCGTAATTCTGAAAATGTTTCTACTGTGACCAGTGAGGAAAGAAATAGGCTGATACCCAGTGCTCAGAGAATGGAATGTTGTTTTTATATATTAGGGAGTAAGGACTCATGTGTAATGCAGTTTGCATCTCAGGGGTCCTTGCACAAGCCTTTAACATGCACATTGCAAGACAAGGAAGTCATTGCTACAATCCCTGAGAAATTTATGGAAATGTAGAATTAGAGGGGATATGCTATCTTAACTCATTATTTTAAACATGTAATCACACTAGAACATGTAGAATACAGCAAGCTTATGTGACTTGATCTTGCCACACCACTTGGTGTTACTTGGAGTAGACTCAGATTGTAGTTAGTTGCTCTCTTGTCCTTCTACCTCATAGCAGTGATGAAGTGTGCATCGGTTTGTTGACTCTTGGTATAGATTTCTCTTAAATCCTCTTAGATAATACAGTCCACGTACTAAAGAAAACAAAAAATTGAAAGTTATGAGATTCATAACCAATAGCTCAAATTTTATTTTTAGCCATTTTTGAGCAATGTTGTATTTAAATAACAGTGAATGGAAACAATAGCACACAGTTTAATATATTTATTTTACTCACAGGCCATCATTCTCCTCTGTCTCTGCACTTAGTACATTTATGCATCTGTGTTTATATGGAATTTAAATATTATTTGATGTGTCTGTGGACTTCACTCAATTTTTTTAGAACACTTGAATAACACAACAATTTCTGAAACTTCTGAAATTGTTACTTCCTGTGCTGGCTTGTGCTTACTTTTAGAAAATTTAAGATTATATCATCAGTGTTTATGTTGATTTTTTCCATTACTTCATAATGGCCAACATATTCTCATTAAAGTGCCAAAGACTACTTGATATTATGTTTGAATGTATGGAAAATTGGTACTATATACAATTGTTCCTCCTTGTTACTGTGAAAGAATCAAGTTTCTGATTTTTTTTTCTACTTCTTCATTTCTATTCAAAGAGTGTTTCATTTTGCCTAGGGCTTTAGCATCCCAAGTGATACTGTTCAAGTATATTCTTGTAAGGCCTAACAATAGATCAGATGATTCATAATTACTATTTTAGTTAGATCTACAGTTAATGACATTAGCATTTGAAAGCACAATGTTGCTCCTCGTTAATTTTCCACATATGCTATGACCCCATGTGATGTAAACTCAGGAAAGGCGGATTACTATGTTCAGATCCTGAATTTATATCTTATACTCTAATATATCGTGTGTTATGATTATGAGACTATCATTTCATTTTGTTTACACAGAGTTAGAGCATCCATGATAGAGGGGGATAGAGAGACAACTCAGTAGTTAAGAGTTTTGGCTTCTTTTGCAAGGGACCTGAATTTGGTACCCAGTACCAACATGGTGGCTAATAACTATCTGTAGCTCCAGTTCCATGGAATCTGACCCTTTTATGGCCTCAGCAGGCATTAAATGACGTGGGTGTACTTATATCCATGCAGGAAAAACACCTAGACACATAAAAATAAATAGAATTTCAAAAACCTTTAGAAAACAATATACTATAGAATGTGACTGCACTGGAAAGCATCTTTCTCCACATTTGAGAGCACTCATCACATCAGAAAACTTCCCCAAGTCCCTTACATCTCCATGCATTCAGTAAAGCAGTCTACCCAGCAGCACATGGTAAAAATGACATTTTTTTATTCCAGGCTATGGTGACATTCAGGGATGTGGCTGTCAACTTCTCCCAGGAGGAATGAATGCCTGGACTCTGCTCAGAAGGCTTCGTACATTGATTTGATATTGGAGAATTACAGTAACCTCGTCTGAATGGGTGAGAATACCTTTCTTCCAGAATTCCTTATTCATTCTTTCTTTGATCCAACTTTGCAGGTTGTAAACTCTGTCTGTAACTGTGTTAGAAAGTATAGGAAATTAGGGAATTCTCATAGTAGAAAAGAACATTTTCATACTATTTTGTTTTATCTTATGTTTCCCTATTTAAGTGTATTGAGCCTCCTTTATTGTTGTCCCATGATAAATACACTAACTCAGTTGCAAATAATATTGCCACACATAAATTACAGATCCATTTTCAGCCTTGATTTAACATAACTATAATTAAAAGAACTCAATCTATGTAGAGAAAATTCCCCCTAAATATTTTGAACGTTCTGTAAGCAAATAAGAATTGAAATGACTTCTAGGTTCCTCAGTTATGTTGTCTCTTTACTGAGCACAGCACTGCTTGTCCTTTTCAGTGAACCCAGCACTTGTCCTCCACCACTTTCTTTAAGAAAAAAACTTTTTTTGAGACAGGGTCTCCCTGTATCGCCAGCTGGCCAGACACTCTGTAGACCATGCTGGCCTTGAACTCACAGAGATCTGCCTGCTTCTGTCCTCCAACTCCTGTGATGAAAGGCATACACCACCATGTCTGGCTCTTTTAAAAAATATTTTATTCATTATTTTTATGTTATGTGTATGAGTGTATTGCCTGCATATATGTAAGTGCACCTCCACAGATGTCAGAAGAGGGTGTCAAAGACCCTGGAACTGGTTATGGATGGTTGTTAGCTGCCATGTAGATGCTGGGAATCAACCCTGGGTCTTCTGCAAAAGCAGCCAGTGCTCTTAACTGCTGAGCCATCTCTCCATGCCCTGTCTGGTACCACTTACTAATACACAGGTATAATTGTGTTTAACTAAGACTTGGCCAGTTGTCCGGAGGAATCAAAATACCCTGGAATGTTAAGAAAGTGGAGACAGCAGCCAAACGGCAAGCTGGGTTTGAGTGAGTGTGGCAGATCCAAAGGGAGAGGTTCAACTCAAAAAGAAAGGAAGATCTAGAAATAGCTTTGTTGTGTTCTGCTTCGCTAGAAATAACTCTTGAGAATTTGACTAACCATATTGTTCTCAAGAAATATCCTATTGTAAATATTAGAAGACTTTGTCCCTCATTGCACTGGAATAATGTTAGCATTAATACAGATATGCAAATGAAATTTTAACTATGCCGGTGTGGGATTATATCCTGATACCACTAGTATCTCCAATGATCTGTCTTCAGACAAATAGTAAAGCTTTTCATTGCTATAATTTTATTATGTTATTAGATATGGTGCCTATGGATTGGTTGCTCTCAGGATTTTTGAAAATCTCTTTGTGATTTCTGGAGATTTTACATTTTAATAGAATTATTTTCTCTATTTCTGATTTTTAAAATGGTAGAATTTAAGGGCATTATTAGAATGTTTTCAGAGTATGACCCTCTTTTGTATTATTTTCCAGTCTTTGAATAAGATCATGCCAACAGTGTGCCAATTTCCACTACTCACCTCTGGATTCTTCTCTTGGCTATCTGCTATTGAGGTCTGCATTCAAGTGTGGTCATAAAAGAGAATTTTTAAATGATGATATTTAATTTCTTAGAATCATTCAAATAGTAAGACACAATCCACCATGTAGAGTGTTTCTTGAATTTTGAGAAGACCGAGTCCTTTGACTGACATATGACTGACTCTCTTTAGGGCTGTCAGGAAAGCTGGAGTTTCTTATGTCATGACTCATGTGATGTTTATTAATATTCTGTCTCATCACCCAGCCTTAGCACTGACGTATTCTAGTATCATGCGTTTTCTTCTTCCAACCATTTCATTATTGCTTCATGTATTTGGAAGCTATTGTTGGTATGTGATCCTATTCATAAAACAGCTTTCTAGTGAATGGATCATTTCAGCATGTAAATATTCTTTGTTTTAATTTTGATAACTTTTCCTTGAATTCCCTGTTATGTCCACCCCAGTTCCTTCTTACTGTACATATTTAAGGGCTAGCTTTTTGAAGTTCCTACATTCTTATCCATTTTGGTTCTTAGATTTGATGTGAATTCTATTTATTATTTATTTATTTATTTATTTACTTATTTATTTATTTATTTATTTATTTATTTATTTATTTATTATGTCTTCTTTGAAACATGTTCACCCTGTAGCCCCAGCTGACTTGGAACCTGCTATGCAGAACAGGCTGGCCTCAAACTCAGAAAGATCTGCCTGACTCTGTTTCCCAAATAATGGGATTAAAAGTGTGTGCCACCATGCCTGGTGATGTGAATTCCTTGTAGAGAGTATATAATGTAATCTTGTTTTTCTTTTTTTTATATTCTGGAAGCATATTTGTGCCTTTTGCTTAGGGAATATTATCCTTTGATAATGTAAGAGATCACTGAAAGGAAAGAACACATTATTATCATTTTGTTACTTTTTCTGTATTTTTGATGTCTATTATTAACTTTTTCTCTGTTATATGTTTATAATGTATTTTCATCCCTTATAAGTTTCTTTTCAGTATGTGCTCTATTTTTTTTGTACCACAGGGATTGTAAAAGCCATCAGAATATTAAAACAATCTATTTCAATTTGTTATAAAATAATTCCATACAGAAGCTGTATTTGAGATTGTCATGTATCATTTTCACATGATTTTAAGAATGTCCATGCTGATTTACATTGTGGCTTCAAGAAACTGGATTCCCCCTGACAGGGAGTCTACACTCTTCCTCTGACTCTGTTGCTTGGACAGATTTATTTTATGCTATTGTTTTGCTTTTGTTTTTTGACAATTAGTTCTCGGCTTGTTTTCCAGACAGTGATGAAGAGGATTTTTCTTTTGCTCCAGTAAATCTCTCCCATGAATAGGTTTACTTTTCCTGATCTCCATTTTGACTTGATCATCCAGTTTATTGGAGTTCCCTCTTCATGTGCTTATGAGAGTCAGTGTTTGGTATCTTTGTAACACACTGGACCTTCTGTATGAGACCCTCTATAACTGTACTATCCCATTTCCTAAGAAGAAGGCTTTTTGTTTGTTTGTTTTATGAATGCAGAATATCATGTCTTATGTTGAGGTCCTTGATGCGTTTGGAGTTGAGTTTTGTACAGAGTGAAAGATAGGGATAAGTTTCATTCCTCTGCATGCTGATATCCAGAGTGTTTCAACACTAGTTGTTGAAGATACTATCCTTTTTCCCATGTATGTTTCTGGAATCTTTGTCAAAAATGAAATAATTATTTTGTGGAATAATATGCAGGCCCTTTCTTCTGTCCCATTGATTTATGAGTCTGTTACTGTGTCAGTACTTTGCTGCTTTTTAGTGTATATTTTATTTTTACTTTTTTTTTATGCATATGAGTGAACTGCCTGCATGTACATAACTGCACTTGTGTCATGCATTGTCCCCAGAAGCCAGAAGAGGGTGCCAGATATCCTGGAACTGGAGTTATGGTTGGTGGTTAACCTTCAAGTGAGTGATAGTATTTGAGCTGGGGTCCTCTGGAAGAACAGTCATTGTCTAGCCCCTATGCTGTTTTTAATTTCTATGGCTCTGTATTAAAACTTGGAAGCAAGTATGGTGGTACTGCCTAGCTTGTTTTTGTTCAGGTTTGACATGGCTCTCCTTCATTGTTTCTATATAAATTTTGATAATAATTTTTCTGCATGTGTGAAGAATGGCCAGGGACAAATATCTTAACATTATACATTTATTTATTTATTATTTTTATTTTATTTGTGTTTTCCCTGCATGTATGTAAATGCACTAATATGTGTAGTACCTGTAGAGGCCAAAAGAGGGCATCAGGTCTTGTGGAACTGGTTCCGGATGATTTTTCATGGCACCATGGGTGCTGGGAAAGGAACCCATGTTCTTTGGAAGAACAAACAGCCAATGCTTTTAACCACTGAACCATCACTCCAGCTCTGATCCTGGAATTTTGATTCACATTGGAATGAAGCTGCAGTTTGCTTTTGGTAGGATGGCTATTTGCAAAACATTAGTTCTTCCTGTTCTTGATCTTAGAAAGTCTTTATCTTCTGGTATTTTCTTCAGTTTCTGTCTTCAGAATCTTAATGTTATCTGTGTAGACTTCTTTCATTTCCTGTTAGGTTTGTGCTTAGGTTTATTATTATTATTATTATTATTATTATTATTATTATTATTATTCTGGTTATTGTGAAGGGGATTGTTTCCCTGATTTCTTTTCTGTATACTCCTTAATGGTGCAAGAGTATTAATTTCAGACTTCCTCAATTTGTTGAGTCTTGTTCTGCTCTTACTCTTGGGGTATATTTAGGAGAAGGTTTAATGGGCTGCTGAGAAGGATGTGAAGCCTCCTGTGTTAGAGTATAATGTTCTGTAGATGTCTGTTTGATACTTTTGATTTATCCTACTCCAATGTTTCTCTGTTGACTTTTTGTTTAGATGACCTGTCTCTTGGTGATAGTGGACTATTGAAATCTCCCACTAGCAGTGTGTTGGTCTTTACCTATGGTTTTTCATCTAGTATATTTCCCTATAATATTGTATGAATTTATCTTTGGTGTGTACGTACTAAGAACTGTAGTGTCCTTTTGGCCAATTGTTCTCTTAAAAATGATGAAGTGACATTGTTTATCTCTTCTGCTAAATTCAGTTTCAAATCTGTCTCGTGTGGTATTTGAGTAGATATTCCTTCTTGTTTCCTAGTTCCATGATGGAGTAGCTTTTTCCATCCCTTTGTCCTGAGGTGGTGTCTATCTTTGAAAGCAACATGTGTTTCTTTGAGGCAGCAAGAAGATGGATCCTCTTTCCTAATTCAATCTGCTAATCTGTGTCCTTTATTGCAAGGGACTGTGACCATTAATAGAGTTATTATAGATAATATATATTAACTCCTGTCCTTTTGTTGATTTTGTGCTTATTTTTTAGGAATTTTTGATGAATAGTTTTGACATTCTTTTTCTCCCGTGACATCTGCATGTGTTTATACCTGTCTTCTGTTCCTAGAATTCCTT